GTGGAAAAGGAGGAGGAGGAGAGGGAGGAGGAGAAGGAGGAGAAGGAGGGTGAGGTGGAGGAGAAGGAGGAGGAGGAGGAGGAGGAGGTCGAAGAGGAGGAGGAGGAGGAGGAGGAGGAGGAGGAGGAGGAGGAGGAGGGTCCCATTCGAGGGCGCCCTGGCGCGCGCGCACGTGCTTCCGAAGGGCTCCTCCCCCTCCGTGCGCAGGAAACTGCGAGGAGCAGGGTGCGCTCCCTGCTGTCGGGCCGGCCCGAGCTCGCCGCCTGGGCGGAGGAGCACCTCGACGCGGCCGTCTGCGAGATCCACGCGGAGGGTGAGGTCTAAAAAAAAAGCGAAAGGCACAAGCTGTGAGTCGGGCCTGTCCCCCTACAGGGGGATATTTCGGCGAAAAATCAAAAAAATACCCCCAAAAATGGCCAAACAAGAATCCAAAAATAGTCTGGGGACTATTCTTTGAGTATTTTTTGGCCTTCTTGGGGTATTTCTGTTTTTTATTTTTCGTCGAAAATCCCCCTGTAGGGGGACACGCCCGACATAACACAAGCTTACATTTTCGGAGGACCGCGCGGATTTCTTGGATCGCCGCCGGGGAGGGGGCTTCAGCGCCGATGCAGGGCGTCTGCGCGGAGCTCCGAGAGTTTTCGTCCGTGCAGTTGTTCTCTTACGGTGGGGGCGTTCGTCAAGGCATGTGCCCAGGATGCTTCAGGCCCCTGGAGGGTTCCTCACCTGATGATGGCGGCGGCGGCGGCATCCATGGCCAATCCACGATTGGAGTTCGACTGGCCTCCAGACCCTGGATTCCTTATCCAGGGGCTCCCTATCCAATGCCCTCACAGTATTCGAGGTCGTCACGCTGGACGAGCGAGAGAGCCTTCGACTCTTGGAGTGCGGGTCCGCCTCCGTGGTGCTCCGAGGCGCCGAGGTGCGCCGCCTGAGTCCTGGGGACTTCTTCGGGCCAGGCCTGCAGCCCGGGGAGCAGGTGGAGCGCTTCAGAAAGGGACTCGCCTGCGAGGCATCGAGGGGGTCCATCTCCTCCTCGGCGGGCGTCGGCGGAAGGGCGACGCAGGCCGGCGGAAGTCAGACGAGGCCCGCTCCGCTGGCGGGAGGAGAGAGTTGCCTCGCAAAAGATGCCCACCTTAGGGTTTCCCGCACCCGCCAGGTGGTGGCAAGAAGCGATCAGACCTTGGTGTGCAGATTCCACAGCAGCGCGTCCGGCGCGATACTTGCGGGCATCGCCTCGGCGGCCGAGGTGGCCGCGCGCTGACAAGGGAGCCACTTCACGGCTGCTGTGTGTTCATAGCTTTTTTCACGAGCTCTTTCCGCAGGCACGCACATCAATCATGGGAAGCAGGGCTCATGGAATTGAGGGCGGGACGGCGAGAAGTGAATTGATCCAAACAGGGGTATGAATAACGGGCAGTCTATGGAGTTCTTACTGCCTGTGACCTCGACCATAGGATTCGCGAGCTCCCCCTGGATATTTCTGGCCCTGCCACGATCGTGAAGCTATTCCCCTTAACCATTGCAGCTGTTCCAATCAGCTCTATCTCTCTCTCTCTCTCTCTCATCTGATCGGACTGGCAATGGGTCGAAGGCTGACATATGACGTAACAGTTCATGCCTGTTCAATGATTCTGGGCCTCTTGGGCCAGCCCCCTGGGCCTCCACGAGGGCCCAAGTGGCGCCCGAAGAGGCTCCAGGACGGTCCCTGGGACTATCTTATGCCGTGTTCGAGCTGTGGAACATAACCATGCTCCTGAGGCCGCTGAAAAGCCACGCGGGGATCCCCACGATAAGCGTGACAGTGATTGATAGTTCATGACGCTTCGCGTATCCCCAGTTAATCGGTTCAGTGAGGTCTCGCTGCGCTGCTGTCCTCTACGGTGCAAGGACTTCGGCATGTGTGGCTCTGTGCGCCCGTCGGCTGCTTTCTCCTACAAGGACTTCGCTTTCGACATGTGCCACTGCTGTACAAACAAGAGGTACTGCCGTTCGCAGTCCTGTTTGTGACGAGGTTGCCCCTCTTCACTCTTGCGCTGACACGATGCAGTTGTGTCGCCTACGGCACGGACGTCGTCCGGGTGTGCCTGTCGGTCCTGCTTGTATCTGACGGGCCTTGTGCCGATTCACACCGAGTGGTTGACCTCTGCGTGTTCATGGTCGCGCCGCCGTGCTATCCTGGCTGCGCCTACTTGATGGTTGCCACCGGGATCTCCACGCCACTGGGTTGGGAGTTTCGTTTCTGGCTATTCTTCTGAGTGGGTGCCCGCGCGTTCGCTTCGCTTGCCTCTCTTCTCTTGCTGCCTAGTCGCGGCCCGGCTAGTGTTCGGCTGGCTTTCGACATGCTTCGCGAGCCCGCTGCTTAAGAAGTATCCCCACCCAACCCATCCAGCAACGGTCCCCGGGCACGCGGCCCTGATCAAGGAAGTGCGGGAGCACGCAGCGGAATGAAGAGGGCGCAGCCGCCAAACCATATGCAGGGATTTGCCTGGGCAGGCCCATGACTGCCTCCGTGGATCTCTCGATCTGGGGGCCACTTGGCAGCCTCCTTGGGCCATCCTGGGGCCATGTTGGCAGCTTTTGTGGCCCTGCCGGGGCCCTCTTGGGGCCGTCTTGGGGCGCTCTTAGGTCGTGGGGCCATCCTGTGGGACGTCGATCAAAGAAGGGTGGGTTTTTAATTCCGCTTGCCGTTTTCAGGCGATCGCAAACATGGATCAAGGGGGCGTGGATTAGCGACGGGTCCCGTTTCCATGGGACATCGCGGATTTCCGCCGCCGAACGAGGCGGCACTGGCCGCATTTTGGGGATGTTTGCGCGCCCCTGACCTTCTTGAGCCTCTTAGGGCCCTCTTGGATCCGTCTTGGGGCGCTCTTGAGCGCTCTTGGGGCCGTCTTGGGTCCTTCGTTTGCCCGTCATGGGGCTCCCGGAAAAGAGCCAAGATGATACCAGCGGAACCTGTTATGAGAGTCATGAATGCCCAGGCAAAGTTTGGCCACATGTTTTCAATATTTTCCATAGCCTCCTGGGCACGACAGAGGGGGGAAACTGCATATATACTCGAACTTTTGGTTTCTCGATAATGTTGGGCCTCACAGCGGCGTTTGTACTCTTCGGGACCGTCTCGGAGCGGAATGGACGGACAGCAAACGAAAAGTTTCAAGAGTTGATTCGTCAAGGCTTTTGTGAGCCCAATATTCGAACCTTCCGTTGAGCCTAATCGACTGCGGCTCTCGTTGCCAGTGCCTTCACTGAGCCAGGCCGCATCAGGTGCTCCAGCGAGGTCGCAGCGCTGCGCACACGTTGCCAGCACAGCAAGCGAGGTGAGCGGTGTATGAAATTCGACAGGTGCGGCATGTCTACATTTTCGTGTTTTGCGTGTCTCCCATCAGTGCCCCTTGTGATTTACTTTCTTTGTGAATGCTACTGCATCACCGCAGTCACCTGCACGTGCCATGTGGCAGAGCATGGCCAGGACTCGAGCGCATCGCGTGCAGGCTTGTCGCTTGTGCACAATGTAGACTGCGATTCCAGTACAGGATTGGGCAATTCTTGGCGCTTCGCGTATTCCTTTGCCAGGGCTAGGATCAGGCTAATTCGTTCCAGAATGTTCCGGAAGGCTTTCGGAGCAGTACAGAGCGTTCTGGCCTGGCCGCAACGCCCGATACATTCTACAGAACCGTCGAGCTTCGGAGGTCCCGGCCTCATCCAGGTCTGATGTTGTCCTGTTTCTGGCTTCCTTCTCGAGTCCCGCCAGCAAGCGATCCCGAGGGAGAACAAGCGAAGCCAGCTGGGGCGGGCACTAGTCAAATCGAAGATGGAGGAGGAGTAGGAGGAGGAGGAGGAAGAGGAGAAGGAGGAGGAGGAGGAGGAGGAGGAGGAGCGGGCACTAGTCAAACCGAAGATGGGGTCAGCCCCAGCATCCTCCGCAGTGGCCACCTCGGGGACCTCTCGGCGGAGCATCTCGGAGGCCTCCTGGAGCCACCGTGGCGCTCCCTTGCGGCAACGTTTTGTGCGCCTCTGTGGCTCCTGGGGCTCTCGTTTGGACCCTTCGGGGGGGCCTTCGGGATTCTCTTGGGGCCATGCTGGAGCCCATCGACCCTGAACAAGTGTGCACCGAAACGAGGTTCCGCACCGCTGGGATGAGAAGTGAGCTCGTGGGTGTCTTTCGAGAGGCGCTCTTGGGGTGCTCCAGGAGCTCGAATCCTCTGGGGCCGTCTTGGGGCCCTTCTGGGCCCCTGTCGGGGCTCTCCTCCTCCTCCTCCTCCTCCTCCTCCTCCTCCTCCTCCTCCTCCTCCTCCTCCTCCTCCTCCTCCTCCTCCTCCCCCTCTCTCCTGGGCCATCTGGCGGCCTCAGAGGCGCATCGTAAGCGAACAGGCGAGACGGCGCAAATCACAGGCAGCCCAGACCTCTCGGGGGGCACCACTCCTCCTCCTCCTCCTCCTCCTCCTCCTCCTCCTCCTCCTCCTCCTCCTCCTCCTCCTCCTCCTCCTCCTCTCCTCCCCCTCCCCCTCCCCCTCCCCCTCCCCCTCTCCCCCTCCTCCCTCGTCCCTCCTCCTCCTACTCCTCCTCGTTCTCCTCCTCCTCCTCCTCTTCTTCTTCTTCCTCCCCTCCTCCTCCTCCTCCTTCTCCCCCTCCTCCTCCTCCTCCTCCCTCTCCTCCTGGAGGTGTCCACCTCGGGCCGTCTTGCGGCTTTACTGGGGCCCCTTGGGAGGCATGCGGTGTGCTGCCTTCAACCAAGTTGGACGACCTTCCGCGATCTTGGATGCCAGCTTGGGCGGCGGCGGCAATGTTTTTTCTCCAGCGAGGCCCTCGGACGTTCTCTATACGCTGACGACTGGGAGCCCCTCGAGCAGCCCCCTCGAACGTCAAGAGCGTGGGCCGCTCAAGCCTCTGATCTCCCCTCTCTGCCACGGCTTCTCGGCGGCGCGCGCTCACGGGGAGAGGAAGGCAGCCGGGGCGGGCCCTCCCGGAAGCCTCGGGAGGCCCCCGGGCTCTCTGAGAGAAGCTTTCCGAGCCTTCTCCGAAGACGCAGACGGTATTTGTTTTTTGTGTGTGCAGGTCTGTTATTAATGTTTTGTTTGTTGTGTGTGTGTGTGTGCGTGTGTGTTTGTGTTTTTTGTTGTGTGTGTGTGTTTGTGTTTTTGTTGTGTGTGTATGTGTTTGCGTGTGTGTGTGCTTTTGCGTGTGTGGGTGTTCTTTTGTTGTTGTGTATGTGTGTGTGTGTGTGTGTGAGTGTGCGTGTGTGTGTGTGTGTGTGTGTTTGCGTGTGTGTGTGTGTGTTTGTTGTGTGTGTGAGTGCGCGTGTGTGTGTGTGTGTTTTTGTGTGTGTGTTTGTGTGTGTGTTTTCCAGAACGGCAGAAGCCTTCCGAGACGCCCCTCCTGCTTCCGACGAGCCCCGCCCCCTCGCCACGCCTTCCCCGCCGCGCGCCGCCGGCCCCCCCTGCGCAAAGAAACCCGTCGCCGCGCCCCGGGGCCGTCGGGCGGGGCCGCCTCGGACGCTCGAGCGGGCCTCGGTCCTCGTCGTCCAGACGCCGGACGCCCGCGGGGCCCTCCCCCAGCGATAACAGCGACTCAGAGCCCCGAATCATCAGGGGTAACTCGGGTCAGGGATAACTCGGGTTCCTTTTTCGGGAATCCAAGCCCGAGTTATACCCCGGACCCGAGTTACCCCGGATAACTCGGGCGCCCAAGCGACGACAACGACAACGACAGCGTGTCGTCGTCGTTGTTTTCGTTGTGGTCGTTGTTGTCCTTGCTGCCGTTGCCATCGTTGCTATTGTTGCGCTGTCGTCGTTGTCGTTGCCGTTGCTATCGTCATCGCTGTTATCGCTGTTACCGCTGTCAGGATGGGCTGGCCCCTCCAGCTGACCTCGCCCTCAAGACAAGCGCGGATCGCGGCCCTGCCTGGACTGGGCAGGTCTCTGGTCGGTCCGAGACGGCCTCCAGCGCTGCCAAGGCCACCCTAGAATGGCCTCCTCGACGGCCACGACTGTCTCTAGGACGGCCAAGATGGCCCAATATTTATGATATGTGTCGCAGCGCCGTTTATTCCGACGCGCAGCTTCACGTCTTGGGGAGAAAGCCTCGGCCACCAGGGCGAATTCTGCCTCGGACGCAGGGTTTGCCGTGGGTTTGCCTTGGTGCCGGCTTCGTCACCTTGGGCGTGTCGTGAACAAACGGCGCGGCGACATTGTCTCAGGAGCATCTGACAAGAGCGTCCGGAGCAACAGATGTAGAACACACATGTTGTATTAATTCAGGAAACATATATTCAATGTGAAGGACGAAATGCGCCTGCAATCTTTCCATCATATTGAATCGCTTCGCTCATTCCGCCAGCCAGTGATATGGCATCGCTGGTTTTTGTCTGTGTGTTCGTTGCCCATGTTGCGCTCTTGGGGGCGGGTGTCGTTCGGACGCGTTGCGTGGGGAGTTTTGATGGTGAAGCAGTTCCCTGGGGGTCGTCTCTCGATGGAGCGAAATAGAGTCGTCGTCAAGATGCTTCTTTGGGGGGCCTCTTGGGGTCTGTTGAGAGGCCGTTCGGGGGCGCCTGGGAGACATGTTTGAAGCCTTCTGGGGCTTCTTTTGGGCCTCCTGGGAGTCTCCTGGGGCCTCTTGGCGACATCTTGGGGCCTCTTGGAGGCCTCTTGGGGCCTCTTTGGGACCTCCTGGGCGCCTTCTGGGACGGAGGGCTCCATTTTTGAGTTCTCGGTATCCCTCCTGAGTCCCTCTTGGGCCCGTCTTGGGGCCTCTTGGTCCGTCTTGGGCGGCACTTGGGCCGTCTTGAGGGCTCTCTTGGGTCGTTTCGGCGCCGTCTTGGGAGCTTCGTGGGCCGTCTTGGAGCGGTCTTGGGGGCCTCTTGGGCCGTCTTGGAGCGTCCGGAAGCCGAAAAAACCAGAACACAAAAAACATAGGAAAAACCAATGAAAATCAACAATTTTGGCCTCTTGGGGCTCTCTTCGGAGGCCTCTTGGAAGGCTCTTGGGGCGTCTTGGAGGCCTCTTGGGCTGTCTTGGGGGCCTTTTGGGCCGTCTTGGGGTCATCTTCGGCGTCTTCGAGCGCTCTTTGGGCGTCTCGGGGGCCTCTTGGGCAGTCTTGGGGGCCTCTTGGGGCACTCTGAGCGCGCTCTGGGGAGCCTGAGAGGCCGCACCCAGAAGGAAAACCATCTCTGAGTAGACTTGGTCGGGCGGCGGTCGGGCGGCGGTCGGGCGGCGACCGGGCGTTGGTCGGGGTACTTTTCGCCGGGGGACCCACAGGGGCCGCCCCGCGCGCGCGAACTAGCAATACTGTTAATACTGTTAACCAGTTACCGGAGATCTTAGCACGCCCTGGCCCGTTGGGCCGGCGAATTTCATGAGATGAAAAGCACTCTGTGTTGTTAATATAGAGGCTTAGGGCACACATCTCTTCTTAGAATAGGCGCATCGCAGCTGCACTTACATAAGCATATGGAGTTGTGCATTTCATGCCCCATTTTGGTGCTGAAACATAGATCGCACAATTCCGCGTCAATCGTGAAAAGTCGGCGGCGCATTTCCATGCGAATCTAGATCGATGAGAAAGCACATCTTCCCTGTGAGAGGGCAGGGCGCGCTCTGCCTTCCCGTCGAATGGTGAGCTTTCGCCTTGGCGCGAGAGCGCGCCTAGACGCGCCGGCATGGCCGTGGCGGGCTTCGCAACGCGCGCCGAGGCGGGGGGCGCGGCGTGCTCATACGTGTCGGCGCGCCAGCGGCCCAGTAAAGCACGCGAGCGTGGCCGGCCCCCAGCCGGCACGGCCGACCCGGGCTCGACGGGCGCGGTTTCTCTTCGTTTGGCTGCCGCGCGGGTGACTTCCCAAGTGGTAGACGCTCTATCTAACTTAACTTACTTTGCAGGGGGGCAGTAGGATCGCGCCCTTTGTGTCCACATGTTTTTGTGCACAGACCTTGCACGGCATATCTAAGCTTAAAGGATGCGGATAGATGCGGCCGCACCCTGGTACAGGCGAGAAGCGTCTCGTATCCCCTTTTCTGTAACGACGTCAAAAAAGATCAGCATTCTAGATGCGCGCCCCCGGCCTGCACGGGAGCGCCGCCGTATTTAAACACATATATATATATTGAAGCATATCTAAAAGTTTGGAACCGTATCTGCTTGTCTTCAAGACAACATATTTGTTCGTATCTAGCTATCAAAGAATGGCACTGCCGCGCCATACCTGTTCGTATCTAAGTGTGTCAGAATGGATGCTGTTGGCTGTGCTCTCGGGCGAACAGGATCTATGATTCTGGTCGAAGCAATGAGCAATGGGATTGGGATAGTGGGAAGCCGTAGCGATGAGTGAGGAGGCGAGCGACGACGAGAAAGAGGACGACGAGGTAGGATGGATAACAGCGATGAAACGAGATTCAGGAGAGAACTGGAAGGGAACAGGGAACCTTTGGAGGGGGAGAGCAAAGAGGAGGAGAAGGAGGCGGAGGACGAGGACGAGGAGGATACGTCAAATCGAAAACCAGGGGGATGATGGGGAGTGCGGGCGAGGAGGTTTTAGGAGAGCTGGCAGGGAGGTTGACGACGTCGATGCGTTGAGGCTGGAGGAGCGGGGCTCAGGAAACGGACAAAAGGAAAACAATGGAGAGGAAATTCCGACGCGGAGGACGACGACAATGAATAAGAAGCTGGGTGATACGAAAGTACGCAGACGTGCGAAGAGGAGGGAGGAGGGGGGTACGTGGGGAAGGGCAGCGAGAACGAATGCGGGGAGTACGGGGGAGTAGGAGGAGGAGGAGGAGGAGGAGGAAGAGGAGGAGAAGGAGAATAACTGGGAGGACGAATCAAAGTCGTGAGGGGGGATAGTAATTTCGATGGGGGTGCATCAGGATTATGATGTGAAGGCGTGGGGAGGAGTAATTCGGACGATTTGCGCGGATGAGGAGTAGGACGAGGAGGAGGGCGCGCGGCTAGGAGGCAAGAGAAGTGAGGTGGAGTAGGAGGGAGAGTCAGGAGGAGAACGTTGAAGAGGGGGAGTCAGGGCGGGGATGAAGTAGAGCAATGATTGAAGATAATGGCTCCTCTGCTTCGTCCTCCTCATCCTTGTGATCGTTCGGATCGCCCGCCGTGCCCCTATCCCATCGGTTCGTCATGAATCCCCACTTCATTTTTTCTTCCTCCTCCTCCTCCACCTCCTCATCGTTGTCGTCCTGACTGGCATGTGCAGTGTCTTCCCTGTTCGTGGTCATTGAGCGGCCTCGGCATGGCAGTGGAGATACGGCGCCGTATCTATTCGTATGTGTTTTTGTTAGCGATGTTTCCAGCGATGGGCGCCATATTGAACCGTAGATTAAACATGTACAGACATATCTCTTCGTTTCTAAAAGCGGCCCCGTACATACAAGTAGTAAGAGCACATAGCTCCCGCATCTATTCATATTCTAATATTTGACCATCGTATCTAAGCGTATCTGTTATGATCGATATCTATTCGTATCAACATTTCTTGAGGGAGGCGCTATACAGCAGATGGTCCAGGGGGAATTTGGGATGCCGCGCGGCCCCTCCGAGCGCAGCTGCCGCTGAGGACATGAGCGAGCAACATAGATGTTTGAACTTGTTTTCCAGGGTATTTGCTGGTGAGCAGAAAGCCGGCGGGGCCGTTCCCAGGGCGGCTCGCCGGGTGGGCCTGGGCCGCCGCCGCATGTGCACCCCGGCGGGGAGAGACGCGCCCAAGAGGGGGCCGGCCGCGGCGGGTCGCAAGCGCTCCTGCGCAGCCGGCCCCGCCGCCTTCGGCCGCGCCCAGCGCGGCCGACCCGAGCTCTGCACAGCGCGCGGACGCGGCCGCCCCCGCATTCTCAGGCGCGTCGGCGCGGCCGAGGCGGGACGCGCAAAACCCGCCAGCGCGGCGGGCCCCGCGCTTTCGGATTCGCCGGCGCGGCTGAGGCGGCGCTGCGAGGTGCGCGCGGCGCGGCTGGCCCCGCGTTTTCGGGCTTTCCGCCGTGCCCGAGGCGGGCCGAGCAGAACGCGCCGGCACGGTCAGCCCCGCGCTTTCAGACGCGTCGTCGCGCCTCAGGCGAATTCTGTCATGCCCCCGGCGCCCAACGGGCGATTTTGTAGTCGAGGGGTTGGCGCGTGAAGGGCAGCATGCGCGCGTTAGAAGCGCGTGCGCCTGAACGCCGCAAGCGCTCTCTCTCTCTCTCTCTCTCTCTCTCTCTCTCTCTCTCTCCATCATCGTTCTGGGGCACGCGCGGACGCGGCCAGCCTGGCATCCTCAGCCCAGCTGGTCGCTGGCGGACTCTGCCGCTGGGATCTCGCCGCGGGCTGCCAGACATTCCCGCCGCAGTGTTTGCGCGTAGGGTTGGAGCTGGGCCTGCGCGTCGGCTCGGCGGCCGCGTGCCCGCCGTCGCCGCCCCGTCGCCGCGCGGCCGCCGCCCGTGGGCCTGCGCGGCGCTGTGGCGGTTTATGTGGCCGCCGTCGCCGCCCCGTCGCCGCCCCGTCGCCGCCCGTCGTCGGGGCCTGCTCGGCGGGCCTGCGGCTATGCAGCCGCCGTGGCCGGCCCGTCGCCCGTCGTCGCCGCCCGCCGGCTCGTCGCCGCACTGCGTCGCAGTGCTCTCGATTGCTCCGCACTGCTCGGCATTGCCTCGTACAGCTTCGCACTGCTTTGCATCGTGCTGCCTTGTGTTGCTGTGCTTTGCATTGCTGCGCGCTGCGTTGTCTAGTCTTGCGCTGCTTTGCATCGCTTCCTTGGCGTTGCTTTGTGCTGCTTGGGTTCACCTTGCTTGACATTGCTTTGCGTTGCATTGTTTCGCGTAGCATACCACCACATCGCCTACACCACATATTTTACACCACATATATAAGTGCGCTGCGTATACTACACCATATAGCTCGCACCACACATTGCACTGCATAGACTTGCATCACATGAATTGCACCACATGGCTTAAATCATACATATCTATATATATATATATATATAGATCGCACCACACGGATTGCACCACATAGATTGAACCACATAGCGCCCACCCCATATATTGCACCACTGAAATGGCACCATGTAGCTTACACCACATAGCTCACACCACATACAGTGCACCACGTAGCGTGCACCACATAAGGTGCAGCACGTACCTCGCACATAGCTCGCATCACATACAGTGCTTCACGTAGCATGAACCACAGCTTGCGCCACATGGCCTGCATCGCGTGAATTGCACCACCTAGCTTGCACCACATAGCGTGCATAGCATCTCGTAAATTGCTCCGCATAGCTTGCACCACGTAGCTTGCGCCGCAGAAGTTGCGCCACATAGCTTGCACCACATATACGGACCTGCTATGATAGAGAACGCGCTGTTTGGGATCCACGGTGGCGGACATATGTCTTTCAAGGGGTTTCAGCTCATCTTGGTTGCTTTTTTTTGCCGGTGCATTTGCGCGGGGGAGCCAGTGTCCTCATCTTATGCGTGAAGCAATGAAGCATGCCCCTCGTGTTCGATACCTTGAGATTTTGCGGTTCGCAGGGCACGACGGAACGCATTTCTTATTCGTGTCGAATCGGTGAAGCTTGCGTTTTTGTTGTTCATTGTGTGATGAAGTTCGGCTATTGCGTTTTAGCCGCGCAGTGAAGTCTGCAGTTTCATATCTTCAGAAAGTGACGAGGTCGTTGTTTCTATTTACCTTGATACCGATAGACTGTATGCTCTTGGTGTTACCACAGAGCGATTTGTTGTTGCAGACGCCAAACATTTCATAACGGGGTGCAAAGAATTCCCCGCATGCCGTATGAATCGATGAGTCGTTTTTCAATAGTCCTGGCGGTTTACCGGTGCGGCGTTGTCACATGATTCCAGGGCTATAGCCCAAGATGGCTTCCAAATTGCTCTCAGATGCCCCAAGGCAGTACCTCCAGTCCCCACGGAGGAAGGCATCGTCATACAGTCATACATTCGATTTCGCGGGGTGCACAACACGGCACACGAGGGCCTTCCAAGGCGACCCAACGCCCCAATAGTGAATTGTTATGCGGCCATAAAGAGGCTTGAAACACGGCCCAGTAGAGCCCCAGGACTGCCCAAGATGGCTAGAAGATGCCCCCCGACGCCTTCCAAATCGTGGCCTGGTCATTCTACCAAACTCTGGTTGGCAGCAAGTTGCATGGCTGAGTCTCACCTCTCTGTGCAGGCCTCTGGTGGAGCCAGGGCGCGGAGCCACCGCTCGAGTGGCTTCGTTTTGGCAGACGGTATGACGGGACGCTTGCAGGGATGTGTGACTTGTTCGATCTCCGTGTGAGTGTGGTTCACCAGAGGAGAAAAAAAAAAACTCTGGTTGGCAGCAAGATGATCCCCAAACATACTTCGACGTCTCTATCCCTGTGATGCCCCCCGGGAGGCCCCCCGAGGCTCCCCCGAACTCCCCAACACGGCTTACGAGAGGCTCTCCAGAGCCCCCTCCCTCCTCTGCCCCTCCTGCACAGGCCGCAAGAGGCCTCCAACAGGCTTCCGATTGACAACAAATACCTACCGAAAGGCATTCAAACTCTGTTCGTGTGACGAGGTTAGGGGGGAAGTGTTGCGACGTGGGGGTAAGGGAGATGGTGAGACCCTTCCACGAAGGGCAAAGACGGGGACAGTTCCGGAAGAATTCGTACCCTGAGCCGCCTACGCCCAGAGGGCCAGTGGGATTTTCAGAATCCGTTTCGTTGTGCGTGCAGTGTTGTTCATATGCCGGAGCCTTGCCCGCGGTGCCCACTTGTAGCTTGTGTGCATGCCCAGCTGTCTGGCCGAGGTGCTGAGAAGTACTTCGGCGGCGAGCCTGGGGAGGGGGAACTGAGAAGGAAAAGACCTTCTCAGAAGGCTTGGAAGTCCCCCGGCCTTCTGAGAAGCTCCCTGAGCCTTCCTCGAATACACAGAATACCTCTCGGAAGCCGCGAGGGCTTGTGAGAAGTCACACCGCCTTCTGAGAGGGCCTTCTCTTTCTCACTTCCCCCCCGGGCGCGCCGCCGAATCTGGTGTTTGGATCATAGGTCGGGTCTCTGGTGGCCGTTCGGGACGATCCCGGCACCCCCCCCGGAACGTTCTCGCCGAGGCGCAGCCGCTGGAACGCATCCCGAGGCTGGAAAACCGTCGAGAACCGACGAACACGTCCGAGAACCTCGAGCCTCGAAACCGCCGAGTGCTGGCAGGCTGCAGTGTGTCTGGACGGCAAGGTTGGACACCGCGGCAGGGGGGCGCCGCGCGCCCCAGGCCGGCAGAGCGGAGGAAGAAAAAAACACTTCCGCCAGACGCCTCTGGCGGGCAGGACAGCCCTGAGGTGCTCGGGCAGCGCTTGCGACGACTCGGGCGGCACCGCTCTCCTTCTCCTCCTCCTCCTCCTCCCCCTCCTGCCCCGCTTCCTCCTCCCCTTACCCTTCGGTTTCCTCTTTCTTTTCCTCCACCCACTCCTGCCTCTCGTCGTCCTCTTGCTCCTCCTCCTCCGCCCGCCACTATCCCTCTCCTCTTCCCTTTCCTCCATCCTCCCCATTGTCAATAACTCCTCCCTGTTGCACCCTCCGACGTGTCTGTAGGGCAGGCCTGGCGTTTCGCCCCAGATTTCCTCACCATTTCTGATCCTGGAGCTTGGAATTCGCAGCGGGGCTGGAGGGCGGGTGGTTTCCAACATGTGGTTCTCGCCTCGGGTCCGCGCGCATATTTGTGTTCAAAAAGTGCAGCAGTTTCAGGGATGGAGAGGGGCCGTTTTCTGAATGGAGCTCTCGCCGCACCGCCGGGCACATTCGTCCCAAGAGTTTGCAGCATGCTCGGGGATGGGAGGCGGGGTCTTTTTCTAAATGGGGCTCTCATCCTCAGCGTCGCGAGCAGTTGTCGCAAGCGCGTGCGCTCGCTTCGAGGATGGAGGGCGGCTCATCTCTCCGAGGGGGGGGGGGCCTTGCCGTGGCGCGGCGCCCGGTCGTTTTGCGAGCTTGCAGCAGCATCAAGCACGGAGAGCGGCTAATGTTCAGCACGCGGCCCTCGCGTGCGTGCCGCGCCCAGGTCGCTGTTTTAAAAGTTCGCAGCAGCTTCAGGGACACAGTCAAAAACCCTCATGAGGACGCGCGACTTTGCTCGGGGTACCCTTGCGTCCTTGCTCTTCCTTGCTCTTGCGTCCCTGGGGTTTTCGTCGTCCGCCGCCCCAAAAATCCCAACTTCGGCTTCCAAGGGTCTTGCGTCCTTACCGCGCGTCCCTATTAGGGTTTTTGACTGTACGTGGGGCGCCGCTTCCTGCATGGGGCTCGCGCCGTGGCGCCGGGCGCACACTCGTCCTGACAGCCTGCAGCAGCTTCTGGGACGGAGTGGTGGGGGAGGGGGGGCGTTTGTTGTAAGGGTCTCTCGCCGCAGCGACGCGCATAGATTCACTGTAAACGTGGCGAGGAGGAGGAGGAGGAGGGGGAGGAGGAGGAGGAGGAGGAGGAGGAGGAGGAGGAGGAGGAGGAGGAGGAGGGGGAGGAGGGGGAGGAGGGGGAGGAGGAGGAGGAGGAGGAGGAGGAGGAGGAGGAAGGAGGAGGAGGAGGAGGAGGAGGAGGCTCTCGCCGCAGCGCCGCGCACACTCGTGGATGGATCAGAGGACGGAGCAGAGGATGGCGTAGAGGTGGTTTGCGGGCCCCCCCGCCAGAACGGCAGCCCCCATGGGGTGCTGATGCTTCGAGGAGGGCGCCTCATGCAGTGCAGACGAAAGCTTGGAGAGACGTGCGAGGAAGGGACTCGGGACGGAAGGGCGTTTTGCCGCATCTCTGGTGCATCGTGGGCTCGCTCTGGTCCTCCTCCCCTCCTGCGTCGGAGGCGGCCTCCGAAGGAGGAGGGGGCGGCAGTAGAGGGAGGAGCAGGCGCAAGAACAGTGAGGTACGAGCACGGGGAGGAGCGAGGGGGGGGGTGCGGCAGGGAGGGAGGAGCAGACGCAAGAGCGGTGAGGTGCGAGCACGGGGAGGAGCGCGGGCTCGATGCAGAGGTCGATCCCCCGCTCCTGCTCCCAAGCACCCCCCTCCGGTGCGTCCCGCCCGTGCGCGGGCCAGGGAGCTGCGGCGCCCATCTCCTCCATCTCCTCCGTATCCTCCCTCTCCTCGCCCTCCTCCCGCTGCCCCTCGCTCTCCCTCTGCCCTTCCTGCTGCTCCCCCCCTCGTCCTGCTCCTTTTCCCCCCCCCCCCCCCCCTCCCCCTCCCCCTTGTCCTGCCCCCTCCATGGGACAAGGGGGCACACAAGGAAGCGCAAAGGAGGTACCAGGACAGGAGGTGGATGGGGCAGAGCGGCGCACTTGGTACGTCCCCTAGTTCCCGTTGAAGGTGTACGTTATGGTACTTTGGCTCAGAGAGTCGCGCTGTCGGTTCTGGCCCCCCACCACGCTTCGGCGCGACACGCTGTCCATGTCCCAGTCCCCGAGCGTCAAGGTCCCGAGTCTTTCCCGAGCCTCCCGCCCCGCGGGGCGGAGCGACACGCTGTCCACTCGCCAGGCATAGCGTGTGGCCAGGGCCGCCGCCGCGACATGCTGAAACAAGCATTCCCGACCGTAGGCGTAGCATGTTATACTTATCGGGGTACCCGAAGAGCGTACGAGGCGACGTGAGTAGAAGCTGAATGGGATCCAGTACCATTCCGGCGGAGCGTAGGAGACGCGTCGTAGCATGCAGCCTCTCGCCGGCAAGTGTTTCAGTATTTGTCGCCAGTTGTAGCTTACACAATGGCGCAGCACAAATGCGACGGCTATGCATGGTCCCAGTGTCTTCGCATGCTTGGGAGCTGGGCCTGTGTGCGGTTGCAGCGGTAGGCTTCGTGCCTGCTCCTCGCGGGGAGCTGCAGCGCTCCTCACGGCTGGGGGCCCGAGATTGCCGTCCACATCTTCGCGATCCTGCGTAGCATGGTGGTCGTCCGAGGCATTGCTTTCCTCAGGCGTGGGAGCCAGCTGCGGTCGCGTGTCCGCCTCCAGGTTGTTCTGGTGCGTGAAGGGGTTGCCCTGTTCGGAAGAAGGGCCCAGTTCGTGTGAGCTGCCTCCAGACTCTTGCTCCTGGCAGAGGAGCTTGAGGTCTGCAGTCAGCTCGTCACTCTCTTCACGGGGGTACCAGGCCTGCAAGTTTGAGTAGGCCTGCTCAGGCAAAGCATCCCATGCCCCTGTGTAGACGACCACTTGCGAACTCACTTGAGGTAGTCTGCCTAGTCGTATCACTGTTCAGGGCGATGCGCTCGCCAGTAGTCTCGAATTGTGCGTCAAAGCGTATGGTGGCCAGAGTCTTCTTGATGATTGCTATGGTGCTAGTCGTCGCGGTAAGGGGTAGATTGTCCCTCGCGGTCATTTTGCCAGGGGCCTTGGTACATCGGCGCCGTCATCGTGCGTAGCCTTGACAAGTACGATGATGTTTGTTGACGCTGACCTGCGCGAACTTCGTAGCGATTCTGCACCCCGCACGTTTTATTTCCTACGCGGGGACGTGGTGGAGTGGAGTGCTCGGGTGGTAACCTTTACTGGGATCTCGAGCCCGTTGTGAAGGACCTCGCTGTAGACGCCGATCGTGTTGAAGACCCCTGCGTCTGTCATGGTGGTGGTGCCGTCCTGGCCCAGGCTCTTTTATAACGCGAGGAAGGACATCTTGGCTGGCTAGGGCAGGGTACTTTTGCCGCTGGAAGCTGTAGACTTGAGTGGGCGTACGTAGTTATGGCTGTCTATGTTCCCCCCTTCTCTTTCTCCTTGGTTCCTTCCTCCCTCTCCTCCTCCTTGACTGCCTCCTCCTCCTCCTCCTCTTCCTCCTCCGTAGCCATGTTGGCTGCAGTCTCCGTGTCGCCGTGCGGCCACATGGAGACCGCTTGGCCCCGAATGTCCCCAGCCATTTCCAGCACCACTCAGGGATGCGCTGGCGCCCACGCTGTGCCCTCGCGGCCTCCATCTCCCCGTCCTGTGCGGCGGTCGAGGTCTTCCTGTCGCTGTGCTGCCCTGCCGGGCGCAGCCTCCATATCTCCGCCGGGCAGCTACCCTTGTTCATGCTGTGCGGCGCTGTTACTGTTCGGACTGCCCCCCCCCCCCCCCCCCTCGCCTTCGACACCATGCCGCGCACTGGCGTCTCCAAGGGCGGCGCCACGGACGAGGTCTCCATCGGCAACCGCAGCACCGGCTGCAGCGGGCGTGGCCGTGCCAAACCTGGTTTCGATCCTGCTCGGCGTGGGCAAGATCGGGGACATCGACTAGAAGGAGAAGGAGACCAAGAAGGGCCTCGTCAGTCTCAGGCTGCTGTCAGCACTGGCACACGGGACCCCGCTGGGGGACAGCGCCGACACCGCTCTGGTCCAGCCCGCACACCGGTCCGCACTGGAGCAGGACGCCGAGAAAAACCACGAAGAGAAGGCGCTGCTGGAGAACACCCTGAGCAACGAGAAGGACATCGACTTTCAGGCGCTCCTCTTCAACGTGCACCGGGTGGCGCCACCGCCCCCATGGCCGCCCATGGTCTTGCACCTCACCCATGGCTGCGCACCTCACCCCACCTGGGAAGCAGGCAGGTGGACCAGCGTCCGAATTGCGCTGGAGAAGAGCTGGGATCGGTGGTTGATCCTCTCCACCACCCTGGAGGAGGCCCCTGGCATGGAGCTGCTCCCCGAGCGCCACACCGAGTACCTGTGCCACCTGCTGGAGATGGAGGGCAAGTTGACCAAGCCTTCGAGGCGGCCTTCCAGTCCGACCCCACCGTGCCATCGCAGCGACCGGCCCCTGCACGAGCTCATGCCGAACAGAATCCAGAACGTGCAGGCCAAGGTCCTGGAGCTACCTTCCCACAAGGTACACATGCAGCATTCCCATCAATTGCTGATAATCTTCAAGCTCAACTGCTCGCGCACGTCAACGCCGCCATGAACACCTGCAGCCGCACTGCTTCGACATCGCTCGCTGCCTCCGTCGACCAACTCCGCGCCCCCACCATGCGCAGGCGGGGCGCCGCCGAGTCAGCCGTCACAAGTCTTCACCAGCGTGTTATTCCTTCCGAGGGCGCTGAACGACAAACAGCAGCATGTCTCGCAGACATCCAACTCCAGCTCGCTATCGCGGAAGCCCAACTACTACTTGCAATCGACGCAGTCTCTCTGGCGGGCTGGCATTGTGCCCCCGACCCATCGATCTAGCCCATCGGCTGCCCAGAGATCGTCTCCCCGCAGGCGGTCTACCAGGGCATCGCGCAGTGGATCGCCGAAGTGGGGCTCGGGCCCAGCATAGTCCAGTTGGTCGGCGACGCCCCCCAACCCCTTGGAGGTCGAACGCTCGCCCCACCTCGCTCGACAGCACTGGCCAGAGCCTTCAAATTTGCATGAGGTCGATGGCGCGACTTTTCCACCGACGCTGCTGCGGGGCCGAGAGTGCTTCTCTATTTCAGTGCTGACCGCAGCTGACCGCAGCCCCAAACATATCAGAAGAGAGATCCAGACGAGGCGTCTACATCGCCTGCTCTATGACTCGTGTCCCGACGAGCAGTTCCAGGCGCCCAAATCCAAGGGTCGCGTCGTCCTGGGTGGCGTTCCATTGGCCAAGTTGGAGATCGGCGAATGCATCGACGCCAAGGCGAAACTGGCGTTCGACACGCAGCCCGCCGCCCACCGCGGGCTCGGCGAGGGCCGCGTCGCGGCCGGCGCCCACTCGTGCTGCGCGGAGGATCGCGGCATGCCGCGGGGGCGACGCGTGCTCGGCCCCGCGGACCTCGACGGCGCCCCTGGCTCGTGGCGCGCGCGTCGCTGCGCGGGGCGCCAGCGGCCTGGCCCCCCGCGGCCCTCGCTGGCGCAAGCAGGAGATCCAGACCCTCGAGACCTGCTTGCAGCAGAAGGTCATCATTGCAGCGGGAGGGGTTCATGGCAATGCTTCGCGTCTGCGGCGCCTCCTGGGCCCCCCCCCCCCTTGCTCGCGCCCCGCTTCCTTCGGCGGCTCCGAGAGGGCGGGCAAAGGTGGCGTAGCTTTCCTGCTCCTCGGCCATCCTTCGACCCAGGTTGTGGGCGACGCTGCCGAGTCCGAGTCTCCCGGCGCCCCCGACTGCTCCGTCTCGGAGGCCGGCGAAACTTCTGGCTCTTCGGGCCCCGCCTCCATTCCCACCTTCTCGTCATCGTCGAGCATTTCAGGCACTTCATCGCCCCCTGCGTCGGGGGCCTCGGCGCGCCCGCCGCCCGCTGGTAGCTGTCGCCCCCCAGCTTCCCCACTGCCTCGCCAGGGTGGGCAAATTTGCCGACGTCGTCAGCCGCCGCCGCCGCCTCGCTGTCAACAACGGCCGCGCCAATCGCGCTGAGATGTTCCGCAGCGGGGGGGGCCGCCTCGCCATCGCGAACACTCGCGGC